GGATGAGGTTCCATTCTGGACATGGTTTCTAGCCCATCTGAGGATTATTTTTCCATTGCTCAAAGCAGCCTTCCATAGAAGAACCTTCCATAGAAGAACCTTCCATAGAAGAACCTTCCATGGAACCTGTGGTAACCAAAGAAACTCAAGCAATGACTTTTTGGAAACTTCTTATAAGCTGCTCTCCTCAGAGGAGAAAATCATCAAATTGGAAGAGAACCTAGTCTGGTGAAACATCCTACCTGAAAGTGGATTCATCCTTGACAATATCAGTTCAAAGGAGTATGTGCCACCCACTTTAGGAACATTGAAACTAACACCCTACATAAGCTCCTCGATTCCAAGGACTGTGATGATCTGCCAGTCAGTCCACAAGTAACCATGTATTGAGCACCTTCTGTGTGTATGCTGTGCTGGAACTATTAATAGTAAAGCAAAATGAAGACAGAATGAAAGCTCCTTGAGGATGGGAACTTTGTCTTATTCGTAGCTAATCCCCAGTGCCTAAATTTGCCCTTAGCATATAGTAGATGCTCAACAAATATTTATCAACTAACATATCTTATTAATTTCATGTCCACATAGTCATATAGGTGGGTGCTTACTGACAAGGAAACAGGCTTCACATGAAGTGACCTGCCCAAAGTCACATGGCAGTAACATCAAAGCCAGAACTTTAAAACCCTGAACCAAGCTCCTCCCTTGTCTGAAGTGTAGCTCCACACAGCAGCCCCCTCTGATTGAGGACAGCAGGCCTCCCACTGACAGCTGATACTCACCGTTAGCTAAAAAGAATGATGCAGGGCCCTAGAGTAGATAGTACTTACTGCTGCTGTGTGAAGACACAGGAGGCCAAATCAGAGGGGACTGCCCTGCAGCATTAGAAATGGGAGTAGGGGGCCTTGATCAGGCCCCTCATGGAGACGGCTGATGCACAAGGTTGCTGAGTGTTCTAGCTTAAGGTAAGGGACCCACTGTTAGAGAAGAAATTCAAGTTGTGAATGGAACAGTTTTCCATATTACTTTCGAAACAAATGCATTTGAAATGGTGTTCTGAGTTCAGAGGTTTCAAATGTAGTTTTGCTGTCCCCGCTTTTTTTTTTTTTTTTTTTTTTTTTTTTTGGTCTCTCTGAGACAAAGTCTCACTCTGTCGCCCAGGCTGGAGTGCAGTGGTGCGATCTCGGCTCACAGAAGCCTCCTCCTCCGCCTCCCAGGTTCAAGCGACTCTCCTGCCTCAGCCACCCAAGTAGCTGGGATTACAGGCACATGCCACCATGCCCGGCTAATTTTTGTATTTTTAGTAGAGACGGGATTTCACTATGTTGATCAGGCTGGTCTTGAACTCCTGACCTCAGATGATCCGCCCACCTCAGTCTCCCAAAGTGCTGGGATTACAGGCGTGAGCCACCATGCCCGGCCTGCTGTCCCTGCTTTTTAAAAAGACATAATTGTCCATTTTTATTAAGTAGAAAACAGTCCTTTTATTTATTTATTGTTTTGCAAAAGACACAGCCTAGAACTGATGGCTGTAAAGCTGGAGATGTATGTCTCACACACTTCTCAAGCCGTACACTGTCACCATAGTGACTACCTCTACAGCACGGCTGTTCTTCCCCAGGAATCAACCTTTTCATCTACTATGTCCTCAGCTCTTTTCCAAATGTTGTGAGAGAGGAAAAGAAATGCAGAGATGAGGCCGGGTGCGGTGGCTCACGCCTGTAATCCCAACAATTTTGGAGACCAAGGTCGGCGGATCACCTGAGGTCAGGAGTTTGAGACCAACCTGGCCGACATGGTGAAATCCTGTCTCTACTAAAAAACAAAAATTAGCTGGGGGTGGTGGCACATGTCTGTAATCCCAGCTACTTGGGAGGCTGAGGCAGGAGAATCGCTTGAACCCAGGAGGTGGAGGTTGCAGTGAGTTGAGATCACGGCACTGCACACTCCAGCCTGGGCAACAGGTCTCAAAAAAAAAAAAAAAAAAAAACACGCACACAAGAAAGAAACGCAGATGCTGTCTGCCTTCAAGAAGCACAGCAGCTGGATGAGAGGACAACAATGAAATGCAGGAACCTGGGAGAACTTCCAAGTGCTCTCCTTGTACTGAGCTTGGAAAAAGGAGAGATCACTATGGATGCAAGTAAACAGGGATGGCTTTCTTGACCAATCCCGCCTAACTCTAGTCATCTGATGACCTCCCCCTTTTGCCTAAACTGGTCAGTGCTCTCTTCTGTGCATTATTTCATGCTCAGGAGTAATTACAATTAGATGTGAGAGGCGGTACCGAGCAGTGGCTCAGAGCACAGACTCTGAAGTCAATATGGTACAGAGGTGAATCCCAGCCCTGCCAATTAGTAGCTGTGTGACTCCAAACCTCTCTATGCCTCTGTTTCCTTAGCTGTAAAATGTGGGCAATAATAATAATAATGCTAACAGTAAAAGCTACCTCATAGGATTGATGTGAGGATTAAATGAACTATGAAAAGCTCTTAGAAGATATCTGTTACCTAGTACTCAGCTCAGTGAGTATTAACTGTTTTGTTATTAAAACGTGTGTGTTTCTGCCATTTGTATTTAACGTATGTCCTTGTGCCTGGCTCACCTCCCTTTTATACGGTAACCTCCATAAGGACAGGCATAGTGCCCCCTTCTTCCTTACCTCTTTACTGCTTGTATTAGTCCATTTTGCACTGCTACAAAGGTACACCTGAGGCTAGGTAATTTATAAAGAAATGAGATTTAATTGGCTCATGGTTCTGCAGCCTGTACAGGAAGCATATGGCTGGCATCTGCTTCTGCTTCAGGAAGTTTCCTTATGGCAGAAGGCACAGGGGAAGCAGGCAGTCACGTGGTGAGAGAGAAGGAGCAATAGAGAGAAACAGGAGAGGCTCTTTCAACCAACCAGATCTCACGTGAGCTCATTACCACGGGGAGTTCACCAAGACACGGATGAAGGATCCACCCCCATGACCCAATACCTCCCACTAGCCCCACCCCCAACATTGGGGATCCCATTTCAACACGAGATTTGGAGGGGACAAGCATCCAGACAGTATCACTGCTTTTCGGTGTTGTATATACAATTCGGGCCCCATGGTTTCGGCATCCTGGATATTCCAGTACTGTTCAGATTTCAAAGATTCAGCTGTACTTTCTAAGCTCGGTTATTATGACCTCAGTTCATAGTTACTATGTTGGTGCAAAAGTAATTGCGGTTTTTGCCATTAAAGGTATGGCAAAAACCGCAATTACTTTTGCACCCACGTAATATCAGATCATGTATCCCAACATGGGGTTCAGAAAAAAAGTCCCTATCAATAGCTATCATTGGCAGCCTCTAGCAGCTTTGCTTTCTCTTGACAGAGTGCTCTAGCAATGCCCGGGAGCCCTTCTACAGAGGCTGGACAACTCCCCTGGTGTTTGACAGCCAGCTCTGTTCTGCGTGCCTTCGGCACTAAATGCTTACACCTGTCCCCACCCCAACCCCACCCACAGAATCCTTTCCTTGGTTTTAATAAACATCCAGCTGTCTTCGTCCATTTTCTGCTGCTATAACAGAATACCACAGATTGGGTAATTGATAAAGAACAGAAATGTACTTCTCACAGTTCTGAAGGCTGGTAAATCCAAGATCAAGGCACTGGCAGGTTTGGTGTCTGGTGAGCATCTGGTCTCTTCTGCCAAGATGGCACCCAGAATGCTGCATCCTCTGGAGAAGAGGAACGAGTGTCCTCACATGGCAGAAGGCAGAAGGGGAAAAAGGAGCCAAACTCCCCACCTCTCAATACTGTTGCATTGGGGATTAAGTTTCCAGCACATGAATTTGGGGGAAACATTCAGACCATAGCATCAGGTATGGCCAAGTTAAGTAACTTGCCACCTACTGCCAAGCAACCCAAACTCAAAGGTCTGGGACATGCAATTTCAGATAAGGAAAATGTGTCCCAAGCTTCCAAGATAATAACCGGTGAAGACAAAGTCAGACTGACCCAAGCAAAGGGGTGACAGGCAGATCTGCGTGAACAGAAATTCTCTAAAGATCAGGGATGGAAAATGAAAAATCAAAGTGAACTATAAAAACATTAACCTGGGTTGGGTACAGTGGCACGTGCCTGTACTGCGCACACTTTGGGAGGTTGAGGCAGGAAGACTGCTTGAGCCCAGTAGTTCAAGACCAGCCCTGGCAACAGAGTGAGACCCTGTCTCTACCAAAAAAAAAAAAAAAAAAAAAAAGAACTAGCTGGGCACGGTGGTGCACACCTGTAGTCCCAGCTACTTGGGAGGCTGGGGTGGGAGGATTGCTTGAGCCCTGGCATTCGAGGCTGCAGTAACTGGATGACAGTGCAAAATCCTGTCTCAAAGAAAAAGAAAAAAGAAAGAAAGAAAAGAAAAAAACAAAAAATCAATGTGGAGGCCCAGAGAGGAAAATCCAGACTTGCCATGGTCTCTGTGATATATTGTCTGAGTTTATTCTTTGTTTTTGTAGCTGTTCACTCCTAAGTCAGAGGTTGAGTCTAACCTCAGTGCTGTTTCTAATCACTAAACTCTGTTACCTCCTGAGATATATTTCATGGTTTGGGTGTCATAGGGCTGGTGGTTTGTTGTCTGAGGGCAGCCACACAGCACCCTTGGTGGGCAGAGGGCCCAGGTCTAAGGGAGACTAGGCTCTAATGACAGGAAGTGGCCAGAGTGCTTCATCTCAACCAGATGGCTATCCCCAACAGCAGTTTGGAAATTGTCCCTGTAACATTAACACATGGCCCAATCACGTGTGAATCCTGGCCCATTTCATGTTGACAACTTGGCTTTAGTTGGATAACACTGACCACAATATCTTCTCCCCTCCCACCCCCTCCAGTGAGACCCTTGAATGGTAGGAAACAATTTCTCTTTTTTAGCGTTGGGTAAACATGTGTAATTAGCCTTGTACTTATCTCCATTAGTATCATTAGACTTGAAAACCCAGTTTAATCTGGATTCTGCTCTCTTCTCAATGTCAGCCTGTTTCTGGACCAGTACAGAGCCAGCCTTGTTGATGCAATAAAGAGATTACTCCAGCCCAGGGTAAGTATGTTTCTATTTTCTCCTGAACACTGGCTACAGAATAATTAGTCTGTGTACAAAGATGGAGAGAGTAATGGAATGGCAGGATTAATGTCATGTAATACTTTAATACTTATTATGTCCAACTTCAATTGGGTCTTCTGATCTATTAGATTCTTTCCTAATCATAACTAGGAAACTTCGTACCCTTGGCCTTCTGATAAGAAACACAGTGGGTAGTAAAATAAATGCAACCGCTTCAAAGATAGTGTGAGATTATTTTTATCAAAGAATTCCTTGAGTCTTTTCCTTTGATAACAATATCTTCATATTAAAGTTGAAGTATGATATTGAAAGTTTTCTGTTGACTTCTGTCATTTTTAATTCCTTCAATGGCAACCTTTCTCGTTGGTTATTTATTTATTGCAAAAGAATACTTTTTTCTTTTTATTTCTGTTTATATTAAAGAAAAGGACTTCAGATGAATCTGTATATTAATAGTTCTTTGCTTTAAAAGGAAGCCATTATTTACATATTATAAACATTAGGTCACAATGAAACCAAGCATGGCATAAAAGATTGTGCACATTTTTACATTTATATATCCATTTATGCCTGTGAGTAAATTACAGAGTTTGTATCCACTCTTATTTTGTTGGACTGTTAAACTAAGCTGGGAGGTCCTGCAGCCTAAACGGAGAGTTAATATACATCTATTTAAAGTAAGAAAACGAGTTTAAAGCTCATGCATTAAAAAAAAAAAAAACCTTCTAACTATGTAAGACTCTTGCTGTGCCATAGGAATTTAAAATAGGTTAACAGTATTAATATAGTCGAAGATAGGAACGCATATTTATCTGAGAACACTGAAGTGTGTGTGTGTTTCTGAAGTATTTTTTTTTAAAGGTCCGCTCTAGTCTTCTGACTCAGTGAGACTTACAGACCAATACCTTTCAACCTTTCTTCTATATCTTTATCATAACCTTCAGTGGTTCCCAGAGCAATCTGATAATCATCCTTTGCCTTACACTGTTGCTTTTTATTTTTCTATCTCTATGTAGCTCAGAAACTTAAAATAGGTCTCTTGGAGGAGTAGCCATAGCTTCCTAAGTGATAGTCAGTCCAATTCAATTGGCTTCCTCAGTTCCCCCTGTGAACTGGGCAGCAGATCTTGAGGCAAGGAAGGGGCATGTTCCAAGCTATTGATGGCCACTGCATGGCCACCCAAGTTGACGACCAAAGAAGGAATTTTGGGTGTCTGCATCCCCCCGACCCCTGTTGGCCTTGGGTGATTCTTGTGGGCATTTGCAAGACCAGGATTTTCAGGGATGGCTCAAGGTTCTTGAATATGAAAGCCTCTATGAAAATGTATCATACATAAATATAATGCTTTCAAGGACTCCGGATCTCACACTGCACAAACAGTACTTCACTCATCACCAATACCCCTTCAAAGCCCATTTGTGGCAAATACTCCATTTTGCAGCAGATTTGCATGATTTACCTAGGATCCACTGTAAATCATTCGCATGATTTACAATAGAAAAGTGCCTAAGCTATGAATAGATCTAAACGCAGATCGGACTGGAATCCAGCAGCTCTTCTGTACCCTCTAATAAACCCTGAACACACTCCCTCTGTCTGAAGTGTGGCCACACGCGGCAGCCCCCTCTGAGCAAGGACAGCAGCCCTCCTACGGACAGCTGATACTCACCCTTATCCTAGAGAAGGTTGGGGCAGGGCCCTAGGCGAGGTGGCACTTATTCCTGCTATGTGAGGAACAATGAGGCCAAGTCAGAGGGGTTCACACTAACCTGTACCATTAGAATGGCAGTGGGGGGGCCTCACTTAGGCCCCTCTTGGAATGGCTGATACCCAAGGCTGCCAGGTATTCTAGCCTAAAATGTAAGGAGCCCACCACCAGAGGGGAAATCCCAGTTGTGGATGGCACATGGACTTACCAAAATTACCACCCAGGAACCTCATCCCCATCAAGAGGTCTGGGGAGGTGAGCACTTGTCCTCCCTGAGCCTCCACCCAGATGGACCACAGAAGGATCATGTGGGCTTGCCAGTGAAGAGCCCAGTCCCACATCCTGTGCTGATGGGCTAGGAGGCTAGGAGCATGGGAGTAACCAGAGGACAACTGGACTTTTCTTCTTAGCTTTCAGGGCTGGCTGTTTGGCTTCTGGAGGACCTCCCGCTGCTGAGTATACAGTCCAAGACTAAGAAAATGGTCAAGGTTTTATTCCATTACAATTAGAGCTGGTTTTAGTGTTCTCTTGAGCCCAGACAACTCTTCCATGGTTTTGTGGCCCAGAGGCTGAAGGTGTCACAAGAAGCCCACAGAGAAACAACATGGGGGGCTACATAGTGGACCCTGAATTCTTGATGATTCAGTGCAAGATACAGCAAGTTCTCCATGCACTTCCAGCAAATGCAAACACTGCACTTCCAGCAAATGCTTCAAGTTCATAGCGTGGCCCCGGTTTCTGAAGGTCTAGTGTAGCGGGTGGAAAGAGTCGGAAAAATCTGCATACAAACCCCAAGTCTACATTAACTACCTTGCCTCTCTGAGCCTGAGTTTCCTCACCTGTCAAGAGGCAAGACTAATGCCCACCTTGTGGGCTGGTGTGAAATATTTACATATGTAAATCCTTGGTCTGTGCCTGGCTTACAGGAGGTGCTCCTTAAGGGGAGCTGCTTCTCTTTTATTGCTGTAGAACTTATCAAGGTTAATCCACATGAGATGTTTTTCCAGGGGGATGCTGGCTTGGCTGATGGGACACCTGAGTTCCAAGCCCAGTGTGGCCCTAACAGGCCCTGGAATCACCTCTTGCTCCATTCTCCCCAAAGAGGGAAAATGAGGGAGTTCACCCGTGCTCTCATAGAGTTCTATCAGCTCTGAAATCCTACATTCTCCTCGCAGAGAGAAGGTATACATGGGCCGTGGAGGCAGAAAGCTTAGGCCCAAATCTGGTCTCTGCCATTGACTGAATTAATGTCTGGAAGTCTCAGTTTCTCATCTGTAAAATGGGGAGTGAAAAAGCCGATGCACTGTAATGCACATGATTGGCTCTGAGTATCTATTCGAGGTTAGCTCTGGTTACTTTGGGAGATACAGACTATGGGGGCCTTTGTTTGTTTGTTTGTTTAGATGGAGTCTCGCTCTGTTGCCCAGGTTGGAGTGTAGTGGTGCAGTCTCGGCTCATTGCAACCTCCGCCTCCCGGGTTCAAGCAATTCTCCTGCCTCAGCCTCCTGAGTAGCTGTGATTACATACATGCACCACCACGCCTAGCTAATTTTTATATTTTTGGTAGAGACGGTTTCACCATGTTGATCAGGCTGGTCTTGAACTCCCGACCTCGTGATCTGCCCGCCTTGGCCTCCCAAAGTGCTGGAATTACAGGCATAAGCCACCATGCCCGGCCTTATGGGGGCCTTCTTCCAAGCATTTTCCTGGAGAAATGCTGGTGGGAGGGGAAGACATGATTCTCTTGACTTGGACTTTGAAACTTTCTGCACATAATTGGCACACGGCATCTCCCCTGCACATATATCCTGAACACCTGTAGCAGGCCCTGTACTGGTTCTGGGAGGATTGTCTACCTGGACGAAGATGACACTTTACTACAGAGAGTCCCCACCGAGTGGGGGAGAGTACTCTACATTGGTAAGACAGAAGTAACTGCAAAATGAAGGTTCAAGTGTCAAGCTGTGGGAACAAATGAATTCTGCCATTTAGGGGAGTACGGTTGATTTCTACCTTGAGCAAATCAGTTGTCTGGGGTCAGAGGGTCCAGAAGCAAAGAAAGTAGATGGAGAGGGGGAGTATCCCTGCCTTTCATTTTCTATACTGGAGCTCTGAATGAAAAGAGGTCCCCAGAGAGAGCTTAGCCACCTGGGTGGGCTCCTCGCTTGGCCCAGGGGTGATGTCACATCCCAGGCTGAGCTTAGATCCTCAACCAAACAGCCACCTGTGCCTGAAAAGTCTTTACAGGAGGCCCCAAATTTTAGCAGGGAATGTTTGTTACCACCTGAAATGCAGGCTTTCCTCAACCTGCTGGTCTAAATAAACTGTAAAGATAGTTAACTCCTGTCATAACACTACAAGGGACTCTCCAGCAAACTTAATAGATGAAAACAATAGAATAGGTGTGAAAAAGGAATGAAATCAGCACATTTTATCCATTCCAAGAAGCAATCCCCAACCCCCCCCCCCCCCACGGCCCATGTATACCTTCTCTCTGCGAGGAGAATGTAGGATTTCAGAGCTGATAGAACTCTATGAGAGCACGGGTGAACTCCCTCATTTTCCCTCTAGTGAGTGGCTCCTTGTTACTGATGATTGATAGGGTGACTCACTGTCATTGTATTCCTTAAAAGTCCATGACAACAGCAGTGTCCAGTATCAGAGGACCCAAATGTAATTTAAAATACAGGCACAGCAGCCTGCAAGTTGAACTTTCGTCCAGAAATGACAACCAACAAATGGTATCTACTAATATTCCTCTGAAATGGCTTTGGGTACAGGGAGGGGAGCCAAGCCAACCAGACAGGGTGAGTTTACTCAGAGCCAGAGGACAGAATATTGACAGTAATCCAGCTTGTTACCACTGCTAACCAACTGTCAAGAATTCAGAAATATCACTGTAGAATTCACTTAACCTTCTTCAGAAATTGGCCCTAACCGACCACCAGATTCCCAGAGTCCTGCCTATATCCAAGGTGTGCTATCAATGTAAATCATAAACTCTCATATTAGAAAAGCAATTTTTTGTTGGGGGACAGGGTCTCACTCGGTCACCCAGGCTGGAGTACAGTGGCACCATCACCGCTTACTGCAGCCATGAACTCCCAGACTCAGGTGATCCTCCTGCCTCAGCCTCTCAAATAGCTAGGACTACAGGCATGCACCACCATGTCTGGCTAATTTTTGTATTGTTTTAGAGATGGGCTTTCATCATGTTGCCCAGGCTGGTCTTGAACTCCTGGGCTCAAGCAATCCTCCTTGGCCTCCC